CATGAATCTGTGTCACCTATGGCAGGACTGTCAAGATTCTGGGTAGAGTTTGGCTCCAGAAAAACACGCATATTTAAAGCATCTAAGGTCCCTCCCACCGCAGTCCGTAGTGCCTAGAGAAAACATAGGCTCAGTAAGTGCTTTAGCTGATTCAGCTGAATTGCTTGCTATTGATTAGATCTCTGCAAACTAGGAAGAAAAACTAAACATTTAGTCTTAGGTATTTTTCAGCATGAGCTCAACCCCATTCTTGTACACGAAGGATTTGCAGCCACTGAGCTCCAGTGGTATCTAAAGCCACAGACACCTCAGACTTCTCTGGAAACGGGCTGCCTAGACCCTATAGGACCTACAAATCCAATATGCCTCTACCTGGTCTTCCCACTGCCATTTTGAAGACAGGTGCCACAAAAAGAAAGAAAGATGGCACCTCTCTCAATTGCAGCCAGTCACTGAGGCATAAGTGCTCACCTGGCACCAGGAGGGCTAGAGGCAGCTCCCTCCCAGCGTTGGATTGGTTTTGAACCTCCCATCACCCAAGAGCACAAGCTAAGCCCCCAAGTCCTGTGGATGTCTCTGGGGAAAGGGTCCCACAAGCTCTTCTAGGTTCAATCTGTTTCAATTTGCATAAATAACTAGACCGGACAGTTTGTCAGGTTAAGCAGAAAATTATCTCATTGAGATATCAATAGATGTAACGTAGGCACAGTCCAGTCTCACTATTGCTGAGGACATTTTCCCTTAAGGCTAAAGCTTACTCCAAAGCTGTCTTACACTTAAGAGGACAACCACATTGGAAATACCGTCTAAATACAGGAATTTACCACCTTTGGGAAAAATCACTGTTTGATTTCCTGTACCATAAAGGATTGGTAGTGTTCAGAGAAGACAGGTTTGATGCCAGAAATCGTTCACATCAGGTATGTCCTCGTATAACTCTTACCAATGATAGCTGGCAGAGCTAAGCAGGGAACAGCCTGCCTTGGGTTTAGTTTGCTGAGGGAAAAAAGCAACAGCTGACATTCCCATAATTCTTACTTTTTAGATCTTTTGGGCACAGAAGAGACTAATGGCAAACATTTTTTAGTCCCCAGAAGCACACACTTCTTGAACAGTAACTCAATAAAATATTTTTAAAATGTGCTGTCACTTCTTATCAGATTACCTATAGCCCCTTCCTCCTTTAGTTCTTTTTGGGAAACGAGTCTTCTGCCTTTTTCCCCCTTCTAACAGGGAGCAAGTAGACGCCTCACCAATCAGATCCCTCTGATCATCCTGTCTTCTGCCCTTCAAGATTTCGGGGATAACTTACAGACCACAATGTTGCATCTTCTGCAAGAAAAAGACCAGTTAAACCATCTCCTTCAGGAGGACAGTGAAGCTGCTAAACACAGGAGCTACCTCAGTCAACGAGCTGATCGTCTCACCAGAGCCTGCCAGTACCTGAGAGACTTCACCTCACTGTAGATTTCTTCATTTTTCGGATGTATTTTTCCACTCTTCTTGTCTAGCATTATTGAAGGACTTTGTAAAATCCCCTAAAAATGTAATGTCAGCACAGACCTTTAACACTCATTTCTAATGTTCAGTTCTGATTTATTTTCCATAACTAGTTACATGCAAACACCTAACCTTATGTAAAGTGCTCCACTGGGAGAATTGTGATTAAATAAATGTTACCCCATTTTTAACCATTTGCTTTATGAATTCTGTACAATCATTGAAGTAATTATTAAAAAGCTAGAGCTCTGAGCTTTGTGGGTTTTTTAAATGAGGATGAGGGCTTTCAGCTGTGTAACTCACAAACTATAGAAATCAAATTATCTAACTAACTTTCCTAGATGAAGCTTACTGCACAACCCTAGAGATCCCCTGCTTCCCATTGTGGTTTTGCCTTGCTGTGGTAATTGTCTTTCCTGCCATCGCCTGAAAGATGACTCTGCAAGGTGTTGCAACTGTTAAGTCCCAGCCCAGCAGGTAGAGAGGGTGCACACGGTGGGCATGAAACAGTTCCAGCCTAGAGCGAAAAGCAAGTTAACTTCATCTGATCGGTACATGCACAGGATGCTGTTGGCTGTTTCTCCTTTTTCAGTTCTCCAATTTGTAGAGAAAGGCAAAGAGGGTCTTTCTTGTGGATACCTGGAGCACTGCTGGAAATTTTGGGACTGATGGGCAATTCAATAGTTGGTGGGATTGGAATGTCCAGAAGGGCTTAAATCACTCACTCACATTAGAAGGGTGTCTCAGCATGCAGCTTGCTGCCTTTCTCCTTCCCCTCCCCAGGGCAAGGACAATGTTCCAAAAGCTCCTTCATTTCATGGAAGCCAGTGCAAAATATAATACTGCATGCTGTATTCATGACATCTTTCATGTGGAGGATTTATTTTAACAGGCAAAGCTGTGCTTTGTGTAGCAAGAGTAATGTCTGCATTCAGCTAAAAAAAATGTGCTTGTACCAGTGTGCCATGTAGTAATTTCCGAGATGCTTACAAGAGGAGTCTTCTCTTCAGGCTGTGTCCTGGTTTCAGCTGGGATAGAATTAATTTTCTTCCTCGTAGTAGGTATAGTGCTGTGTTTTAGTATGAGAATAATGTTGATAACACACTGATGGTTTAGTTGTTGCTAAGCAGTGCTTACACCAGTCAAGGACTTCTTCAGCTTCCCATGCTCTGCCATGTGCACAAGAAGCTGGGAGGGGGCACAGCCAGGACAGCTGACCCAAACTGACCAAAGGGCTATTCCATACCATATGACATCATGCTCAGTATAGAAACTGGCGGGAGTTGGCCAGGGGGGGCTGCGATCGCTGCTCGTGGATGAGCTGGGCATCAGTCAGCGGGTGGTGAGCAATTACATTGTGCATCACTTGTTTTGTATAGTCTTTTATCATTATTATTATTATTTTCTCTTCCTCTGCTGTCCTATTAAACTGTCTTTATGTCGTGTTTTTTTTTTTTTTTTTTTTTTTAATTCTCTCCCCTATCCCACCACGGGGCAGGGAGGGTGAGCAAGCGGCTGCATGATACTTAGTTGCTGACTGGGGTTAAACCACAACAGGCTAGAAATGATAGAAGGTGTTTGACCCTCTGACATGAAACTGCAGCAGCAGACAGCTGACTTCTGTGGCACAGCATTCACCCCAGTACAGCATGCAGCCTTCTTAACCCTGTTTAGCACTACAGCCAGTTTTCCACATTTCAGTATACTGTTTTGCCACTACTGACTTGCAGCACTGCAGGCCAGAAGCCGTAAAAAAACGCCTGATACAGTAACAACTTAAATTACTTAATTTCCATTTTGAAAGTACTTTGAACTTGTTGACTACTTCATGGCATCCCCCAAGGCACACTCGATGATCGTGTGCTGTTGAAAACACCCTGTCTCACACCTAGAGAAGAAAGGCAGGTATACATTGCTTCAGGCAACATGAGATGTAATAACAAAATAGGGTGCGACTCCCTGGACCCACTGCCTTTAGGCTAAACTTCCTTATTTAATTCAATTTCATAAGTCAGAATGATTTCCTCAGACCCAGCCACTAAAGACATCCAACATTCGTGGACATCCACCTCTCCTTCCCTGGGTTTGTTCAAGGACCTGAAATATTGGAATTAAACAATCTCTTGGATCACCTTCTTTTGCTTTGGGTTTTGTTTGGTTGGTTGGTTAGTTTTTTAAATCAGATTCTCAAAGCACTTCAAACACTGAATCCAGCAACTGCTTCCAAAAAAATCCAAGCAAACAGATATAAACCACTACTAAGGAAAACTATTTGTAAAAAAAAAAAATATTTATTTGGTGCAGTGTTTACATGCAAGATAATTGCATTTCAGTACCAAAAGAGAAAACAAGACTAGTAGAGTCATTTCATTCAAAAGATTTATCCTTCTTAACAAAAGTGACTTGGTATGGCTTTTTGATCCTCTGTACTATGATTATAAATTATTTTCAAAATCCTAGTTGAGGTGGCACTCTGATATTAATTACATTTTGCTAAAAACATACATGCAGATACATAAAGGAGAGCTCTAAGGAGTTAAAAGCCAAATTTAATAAATGAGGTAGTTCATCTGGTTATGCAGAAATGCAGATTTGTGTTTCTTTGTATAAAACATCCAGCCCTCTGTATGTGTGTCTGCAATCAGATGTCTATCCCTTGCAACACAGCCTTACTGAAAAACTTTGCCCTTTGCCTTTCACAGCAGGGAGAGTTCAAGCGTCAGCCTCGATGGGCGCAGCCAGGGATCTTGCCATCAGGACACTTAACTCACCACTTCCCACTACAGCTCCGGAGCATCCCTCTCTGTAGCCGACATTGAGAGTGACAGCAAGTCTTGCCCTTTTTGGGTTCAGAGCAGCTTAAGGCAGAACAGCACTTTTAATTACTGAGACAGTCAGACTGGTCTCACTTTGAGCAAACTGACTTGGATAACTGCTGTGTCAAGATCCTGAGGACTTTTAACTACCTGAATATACAGTATTTTTTTTTCTGTGCCTCCACCGTAGTGCATGAAAACTTTCCTTCACATATACCAAAAAAACATTCATTTATTTTTAAATTGCCAACCAGCAGCTCAGAGATTCAACGTTCACATTACTTAACATTTAATTTAAAACTCCACTAAACCAACTGTCTCGGCATCCTGCTACGAAAATCTTAAATTAAATTGTGATTAAAATTGCCATTATAAGCCTGTACCTGATTATCAAGTGAAAGTTACTCAACTAAAGAGAGACATTTCAGCAAGCAGTTGACAGAAAGACTTTCTGCCAGGCACCACAACAAGAAGAAAGGTGCTCATTGTGATACTCCTTCACTGATTAAGATCAGTCACTGTAGCCAGCACAGAACCGAGTGTGCAATCCTTCACGTTATTTTTAAAAAGAAGATTCAAAGAGAAAAAAAAAAAAATCATTTGCAAAGTGAATAAATATCCCAGGCACCTATGGCTTCATTTATTCTTCTTAGAAACATCGATCAACAAGGACAGACAGCGTTGTCATCTGTTTGCCTGTTTAAAAAACAAAACAAAACAAAACCCAAAGGTTCAAGTTCTGCTGAGAGACTATCTTATCAATTACTTGGATGCTTCTCAGCAGAATAACTTCATTAGCAGACAAGTCACATTTATCTACTTTTATAAATAACATCATGTTTCAGGATTTGGGACATTTAAAATTATTAAAAACAACCGATATTTTACCTGCATATTTTTATAAATCCAATCTGTAAACACGGTCATATTCCCATACACTCCAGGTCTATTGGGACTAGCACAGCCAGTTCCCCAGCTGGTATCTCCTACCAGCCACCACACGGAGTTTTTGTTAGTTACTAGCGGACCTCCACTGTCACCCTGCACAAATACAAGCACATTATTAGTGACCTGGCCACCAGGAAAGACACAATCCATTTCACTTCAGGAATACAGGTTAAGTTTCAAAAAAAGCTAACCACCATTTTAAGGTAGTCACTAAAACAAAATGCAATGGCAATTACAGTATTAATGATGACTGCGTGCAATAGGGATGAAAATTGTTTGCCGAAAGCACTAAATGGGATAGCATTAGTGACGTTCTTGTTCACAAACATATTGCTAGGGTATCACCCTGATTATGAAGAACATTCATTCACTTTCAAGTACCAGATAACAAAACATCCTTGAAGCATTCAAAAGGACTGCCTCACCCTCTTTGGGTATTTACTGAGAACTGGGCACTGGCAGCCATTCAGAAGATGAAACAAAAGCTCTCCCTTTCAAAGGGGTGCACCACAAAAGTAAGTAGAAGCCCAACCAAAACGTTACTCAATTTTTTTTTTTTTTTTTTTTTTTGCATAGGACCTGTTTGTAATTAATAGATGTTTTAAAAAGCCTATTAGTAAGACCACAAAAATTATCAGATCATTATCAGGTGTTAATTAGGAATAATTACCTGACAGGAATCAATTCCTCCTCTTAGATATCCAGCACAGATCATTGTAGGCAAAATCATGTCGTTATATATATAGATAGAATTACACCTAGAACGTTCTATTAAGGACACCATAGCATAATTCAAGTTATTTGATGTTTTACCTAAAATTGAAACATGCACAAAAACACACATACAAAGACATAATTAGAACACGCATCCTATTACGTTGCTATTACAAATCCCAGCAGCTAGCACTGTTCAAGATGAAATAAACTTACTAGAAACATGGGGGTGGACACTTAAGATGTATGGTCCATCACACAGAGACAACTGTGACATTAAAACTCCCTTCCAAGAGGTCAGTGAGTTACCCTGCTTTGCTGTCAGTGTACGGTAAAGCAAGAGAACATGGCACCTACCTGCCTACTCCAGCCCCAGATCAGCTGTGCTATCTACAGGGCTACTAAAAGCACATGAAGTCTGCAGAGGCGAAGAGGACCTCCCCACAGTTTCATGGTCCTGCACAAGCTGCCAGCAATTCCCATACTCGGGGCCCAGCTTCCCCAACACCCCCCTCCCTGCCCAGCACCTTCTCATACTGAGAGAAACCTTTCCTCCCTTTCCTTTTCACTTCTTACAAATTTACTTGCATCATGCTATTTTAGCTTGAGGTGGTGGAAAAGCACAGGCTCCTGAGCTTTCCCATGTCCCCAGAGGACTGGCTTGGCATACAGCTATCCTTGTCACAGGAGAGGGGGCCCTGCTGGCAGGGGTGCAGAATTGTTTCCTGTGTGAATATTTCTGGCCCCCGGTACTGATTTGAGGCTCCTCTGCAGTCTGCTGAATGCAACACATCAAAACGTGCTTTGAGACAGAATGCCCTGTGTAAATATTAGGGGCTGTGAAATGGGTGAAAAAATAGCGTATCAACAGATCTTGCTCAAAGTGCCCAAGCAGCCCATGCAACAGTTACTCATGGACTGAAGAGGATCGGTTTATGTAGAAGACCAAAAATATTCCAGAGCCACTCTTTACCTCCTTGGTACTCTGCTCCCCACCCAGATATCCAGCACTGCTGATTGGGCTGGAACATCATTCCTGGATTAGGCAGACAAACTGGCCGTACAGTATCTACAAAACAAACACAGTAGCATCTGTAATCCCAGATGTCCAGACATAATTAAAAATAAATACATACGAAAGATCTCAGCATGACTACCACTTAAATACATATACACCATGCATTTTCTCTGTACTTTACCCTCGTTGCAGATAAGCAGTACTGTGCAGTGCAGGCAGCAGCAGAAGGCTTACCAGCTGCCCTTTCCCAGATGGCTACCTCAAAGTGAGGAACAAGCACAGTTAATGGTTCTAGCCTAATTCATCAGGCTAACTAGAACAAGCAACACCAGCTCCTCTGATCAGCAGGGGACAAAGAAGAAGAAAAACTTCTGACAACTACCTCTCTGCATTCTTTTTGCAAAACCCTGCTGAAAATAATCACAATGCAAGCAGGATTCAATGTCTATATACAAGAAGCGTGAAACACAAAAACCTGGTAAACAGACAACCTCCCTGCTCTCAGCAGCAGAAGAGCCCCTCCAGATTACTTCTAGTAGCTTTAAACTGATGCACTGAAATATAAAAGAACTGTACACAAAAAGGACTTCAAGTTTAAATAATGGTTTGTCCTCTATTTTTCACTGCTTGCTTACAACCAGCCTACATCTACTTTTAAGAAAGGATATTCTTGTAACACTTGGTTTTGGGGTTGGGGTTTTTTTTTCCCAATTGTTATTTGATATAACTTGGTTTAGGGTTTAGTCAGCTGCTCCACCACTACGTCCTGAGTCTGCACATATAGGAGTGGCGATACTTAAAACACTGTACAGCATTCTGGGGTAAAAGTACATCATTGAGATGAGCCCAAACTCCCTACCAAGTACTAGATTTAAATAAATCCTACTTAGAAAATCAGAAGGTGTGCCCTCTGTCTCCACCTCTACCCTGTCTCTAAGGTGTCTACCCATATTTTGTGTTCTTCCCGTAAGTATCTACAAGGATTTCTTGATGAACTTCAGAAGTTTGAAAATATATGCTCATTGCCATTGGATTTTTGCCTTAAGAAGAGCAGAATACATACCAGTAAAACGCAGTGGTGTCTCTAACTTCATAAGGGCAACATCATTGTCTTTAGAATCTGTATCATAAGCCGGATGGGAAATTATCTGTTGCACTCTATGTCCATTTCCTAGGAGCATCTCATGCTGATTCAGAATCCCAGCATAAACCCTCCAACTGTATGGGTCAGAAAATTGTCTACAGAAAAAAGAAAGGTTAGAAGGTTTGCTTCTCTGATAACAAGTCACAGATTATGACCTTCAAAATATTGTCTTCAGAAACGGTAGCCAAATGCATGTGTGACTAAGAATGCACATGCATTTGACTACCATTTCTGAACAACAAGGTAAACAAATTGCAAGGCATCTGACTTCAGGAAAGCTTGACTCTAATTTCATAAATACATCCAAAAAAAAATTTGAAATGGGTTAAGTATCACTGTCTATCCCCTTAGTCACTTGGCACAGAAAATTATAGTCTGAGACTGCAACACTGGTCTCTATTAATTTCCATGGCTGAGGAACCAAGCAGTTATTTCTGAGATCTCACATGTCAGTATTACTCACGTGTACTATCCAAAGCACGCAAGAGCAGCAGAAGCCAGAATTAGTAAAAACATGATGTAGTGAAGGAATTTCACTATCTTGAAAATGGCAGGAGACTTTTTGTTTGGTTTTGGTGGGTTTTTTTTAAATGTTAACCATGCTTGCTAGATGTAATTTAAGTAGTCTCTTGTGCTCCAGCACAGTTTACAAATGCTCAACAGAAAACCTCCCACAAGTGTTAAAACTCCATGAGAACTGCTGAGGCAGTAGTGCTTGCAAGTCATCCCCCCTCTGGGGTGGGGCAGGGGGGAACCAGGACTGAAAACCATTTTTGTGCCAGCTACAGCTTGGTTGCCATTCCTAAAGCTTTTGCATACTACAGAGCTCAAATCAGAAAACAAAGGAGGGATAAGATCATCACATAAAAATAAACCCTTGCATTCCTTCCTCAAGGTTAAGGTCAAAGTTATTTTTCCTTGGCTTAGCCTCAAATTGTGATCCAGCCAACCAACCGTTAAAATGTTTTTGCTCTAGTGGGTTTTCCCTCCAACAGAGGCAGCCACCTGTTAAGCATATTCTGCCACTGCACACAAGGTACCACAATACGCTCAACTCTCCTTTATAGGTTAAAAATGTACAAAGCACCAGCTATTTTTCTTGTTGATGCCTTACACTGATGTAAAGTGCTCCTTAGATAGGTATAAATCTACATTTATTACTGACTTGGGCTTTACTACCCTGTGGCGTGAAGATACAAGGAAATAAATGGTACAGGCATCTTTAAATTGATCACATCTACAGTTGTGTGATATTTGAGGGTGTGGGAATTTTTTTTCTTTTTTTCCCCTTTTCTTTGTTTTTCCTCACAGAGTAATTCAACATCTTCATGAAAACATTTTACTGTCTGGCACTAAGTTTGGTGCCTTGAGTTTACCTCTTATGTTGGGTGGGTATCTGTGCCAATCACCACCATTGAGTTTAATTTCCACCTTTAACAAGTAAAATAAGATTTTCTTTCTGTAGAAAGCAGACAGATGATCTGCAGCCAGCCTCCTCCAGAACAAATTTTCCCTTAATGCTTGAAAACCATACTGCTACATAGACAAAATACTGTACCTAGCACCTGCATTCAAGGCAGGGGGGAGGGGAGGAATGGTATTTAATTCAGTTTTAAAGCAGAAAGTTGGGAGACTTAAGTAAATTTGTGCATTTCAGCCTGAAGAAAAAAAAAATCACCATTCGAGAGACAAAACGAGCCAGTTGCTCCGGCACTCACGCAAGCAAGACTCACCCTTCCACGCAGTGTGCCGCCGTCACTATCCACTGGTGGGTGATGATGGAGCCCCCGCAGACATGGGTGCCCTGCACATGGAGGCTGACCTGCCACGGCCACTGCCCCAGCACCGCCCCGCTGCCACCCACGATTCTGTTCATAATGTTCACATTTTTAGTGGACAGGCCGCACTCTAAGGAGTCAGTGACATACACACAGGTGTTAGTTGAAGAGTGAGCTGGTCTGGAAGATGGCTTCTGCAGCTCAGGCTTTGCTAGCAGAGGGCAGCACAGACCACAGAGTCATAGAACAGTTTTGGTTGGAAAAGACCTTTAAGATCATCCAGTCCAAACATTAACCTAATACTACCAAGTCCACCACTAAACCAGTTAAGGGTAGAGTAATAATTAATTTCATGTTTCCTGGCTTGGTGGCTGGATTATTTTTTAATGAAAGTAAAGTAGGAATCATTAAGGTTGGAAAGGACTTCTAAGATCATCAGTCCAACCATCAACCCAACACCACCATGCCTACTAAACCATGTCCCAGAGTGCCATGTCTACACGTTTTTTGAACACTTCCAGGGATGCTGACTCCACCACCTCTCTGGGCAGCCTGTTCCAATGCTTGACTACTCTTTCTGTGAAGAAATTTTTCCTAATATCCAATCTAAACCTCCCCTGATGCTACTTGAGGCCATTTCCTCTCGTCCTATCACTTGTTACTTGGGAGAAGAGCCCAACACCCACCTCGCTACAACCTCCTGTCAGGTAGTTGTAGAGAGTGATAAGGTCTCCCCTCAGCCTCCTCTTCTCCGGACTAAACAATCCCATGTCCGACCTCCGCAGTGCTGGCATTCGATACACGGCAGCTTGGGCCCCTGCCCTGAACATGGAGATCCCGAGTCTCCCATAGCCCAGACACCCTTCACATTGCAAACACCGAGGTGAGTATTTGGTAGCTGCTGCCCTCGGTTCACCACAAACCATAAACCAGTAGTTCATTACATCTTTGAGTGTGGTATTCAAGCATCTCTGGCAAGCCACACAGACACATGCCTTTGTGTTGCGCAACAAAACAGAAAACAGCCAGGAGTTGCCTCATGACAGCCATGACCGTCAGGAACACAACGCCCACCCAATGGCCACGTGCTGGAGAGCAGACGCGCCACAGACATCCCACCACAGCTGCCGTGCAAGGTCTACAGAGCTTCATGGCAGGCAAGTAATTTAAAGGAACCGGTGGCAGCAAAGACAAAAGTAACTGGGGATCCAACATCCTCCTTGTCTCCTCACCCTGCTCCTTAGACTGCACTGTTTGAAACTTGGGAACCAGAGTTAAATCATCTGCCCATCAAAAGACGGCAATTATTTATGCACATTCAAAGGATTTCCCAGCCAGAGCATTTCAAAGCATGAAGAAGCAGAAGTTTGAGAAACAGTCACCTACCTATGCAGCGCAGAGAAACCACATTTCCTGATGCACAGGAATTACTGCAATAGAAATAAAAAAACAAACAGGATTTGAGGCACACAGTGAAGCAAATGCTGAGCAAAGTTCACCCTCCAACTGCTTCCCACCCTTTCCAGCTATGTGCCCCACCTTCACCCTCATCTTCCTTCTGAGGGTTCCCTCCTTTTTTCACTCCCTCCAGCTACCCTACCAGCAGCCATCTGGCCTCTACCATTTCTTGCATTCACCAAAACTGTCATGTGGAAGACTGCAGTCGCCAGTACAAAAGGTTTGTAAGCCTATTGAGGAGCAAGATGAACAGCATGAGAAAAAGTTGAGCTGATTTATGAAGTAGTTGTAGAAGAACCTAAACAAGGGAGCTATGTGAGCTTTGCAGGCACAGCAGTCTACAGGTTTAGAAACTAGAAACAACTTCAGAGTTGTTTAATGAGAATAAAAATTATCCTTTCCACACTGAAAGATCCATCCTGCATGCTGTGTGTTCATGTGACTGCAAAAAAAAGCTGTACCAGCTGCTGTGAATGTGTTACAGCTGGTAGCTATTGTCACCATACAGAAACTCCTGTTGATGGTCAAAGAGCCTTAGAAAAGTATCTTTGACATGGCAACCTTCTAGACAGCATGGAGGGAACAGGATGGGACATCTTCTCTTTTAAAAGAGGAGAGGAAAGATGGAAAAATGACAGCTGTGTTTTTAAATAGAAGGGAGAACAGTTGCAGCAATCAGATTAAAAGCAAAGTCTCCTTCCCTCTAACAATCCCCACTGAAAGACGTGCTTGCATTATGCTATGGGCAGAAGCTACACCTCTTACAACAGCTAAAAAGACCCCTGATAAAAGAAGTTTGTATTAAACAAAGATACCTGCTATACAGCTTTTTGTACAAGTCTATATTCCCAGCACTTGTGTTCAGCTTCATGAAGCTTTTAAAGCTGACTTCAGTTGCTACTCCTCGACTGTAGTAATACGTATCTCTGCAAAACAGAAAGTCTATTACGAAACCCAGTAGTTTCAGTATTCAAACAAGCAATACACTGTGCTAAGATAGAGCTTCTGACATGAACAACACTAAAAATATGATTGTTTTTTATATTAAATGCCAGTGTTGTACTACAGTGCCAGAGACTCAGGTTCTTTAACAATTTGTCAAGTTCCATTTCTAACCAAACAGTTACTAGATTAAAATAGTATTTTTATCTAGTATGCATACACATGTAGGAATCTTCAGCCTCATGAAACAGGGCAAGATGAAGAGATGCCTTTGCTGGTACATTTACACAGCATAGCAGAGTTCAGGTCCAGTAAGTCATGACAACCACATTTCTGGGGGACAATGACAGGGGTAGCAAGTGCTGCTTTTCTGGCAGGCTTTCTAGCTGAGGACCAGCTCTGCGTAGTTGCTGCTGGGCTGTCTTACTGGAGTTGGAACTACTGGGATCATTGCCTGTTCAGAGACCTTAATTCAGAGCACCACAACAACGCATGGGTACACACAAGTTCTGCCTGCCTAGTCAATAAATTCACTCCATTGCCCCACCATAAAGAGGTGGTGTATACCAGAAGACAGCCTTTGCCAACTGCATCAGAGAGGCAACATCAAATATTTCAACCACAGAAGAATTTATGCTACGGCATTACATGGGGAGAATGTGGGCAGCACTATGGGCCATGAATGTTTATGGTGATCTTCCACACGAGCTGGGGTTACTTGTGTCCTCAGAAGACCAAGGCTTTCCATGTAATACTGGTGATGACAGGTTAAGTCAGACTGGATGTTACTGAGCAATTATAACAATTTGCTACTAACTGAAGTGAGCTCTGGAAGATGATTGTGAGTGAATGTATTAGATACAAGTGACCCCACTGAGTAACCACTGCATGCGTGCCAGACCCTTGTTACTTGGAGCAATGTTTCATTTTGATTCTGTAACAGCTACCATCATTAAAATCAGACCCACTCGGGTTCACAAGAACTAGATCACCAACTGCTTTTTGTTTCAGATACGCATTCTTAAAAACAGCAAGAGGGAAATTTTAACCTTTCTACGTATGTCCAAAGGCTGATGAAGGTTAGACTTACACACTGTATCCCATGTCTTTGCATGCAATCTTCCCATAATTGTCATTCCAGTCATCTTGGCAAACAGGATACCAGGATTTGCTGACAGGTGAATAAACTTCCAGGATAAAGTTTGGTCCAAAAAGTCTAACTGCCAGAAATGGAAGAAGGAAAGAAAAAAAAAAAAAAAAGAAACCAAGAACACCACACGCTATATTACTGCCCTTTCTCTACTTAAAAGCACTGGTAGCCATAATATTTGCTTGTACATATGAACAGGTGTTAATCTAACGCTGCCTTCTACTCAAATTCTGAGTAAATACCAAGTAGACAGAAATATCACAATAACAATTTCTTTGCGTAAGGCAATTTAAGAACTACCAGTTTAAAAATGTAAGTGTACAATACAGTGTTCAGGTTTTCATTGCAGCTTTTATGCTTAAAATTCTCTTTCACATTCTACCACTGTGCAAGATTGCAATAGCCAGTCTTTTCTTATCTTTTATCTACACAACCATACATTTCTTAATATATCATATATTGTGTATATGACAAAATATAATCTATTCTACTCTATTTACATGTTATACCTTAATACACCGAAGTTCTTCAGACAAGTGCTTGTAAAGCAAGAATGTAACAAGGAGCAATTAGCTCTGACATTCCATGCCCCATTATGTATTTATCTGCACAAGAATTTAATATAAAATAATTCAAGCAAAAGAACAGATTGAACAAGCTTCTCCAAAAACCCATTATTCAACCAAATGGAGAGGAACAGCTTTAGGGCACATGCCAGTAAATGCTAACCCTTTTAGAATAAAGTTCCCAGAGAGAGAATAAGAGCACAGCTGGAGTTTTCCAGAGTGGCACTGGCGCAACACAGGTGTTAGAAACAAGATGCCACACCTTTGGAATGGACAAATTGGTTTTCACCTTCCACCTTCAGCTCTGCACTAAAGCTTCCCTGGGCGTCTTTTCAGCTGGAAACTCTGATCAGACCAGGCTTTCTTACACAAAGGAGTTATGAAGTAATTGAAGCATTATTGGGGCAAATGAGGAATGCAAAGTATGTGGAAAAAGATGAGCTTGACTGAAGACCACCAGATTTATGTTATCACCTGAAGGTCTGCTAAGAAGTCAATGATGACTGTTCATTGCAGAGACAACGTTACATTCACTTTTGCACAAACCCCATTCAAATTAAAAGATAATATTTTAAAAACTGATTAAAAGTTAAGCCAGCTCAAACCTGTGAGTCAGTCATTTTGTTTCAGCTTTTCAATCGGACTGGAAACAAACTGAATATCTAGATACAGGCTTCAAAGTGCTCAAACATCCTAAACCAATTTAGAGATGTAACTTAGGCTAAAATGACCCTATTGTAACTTAGGCAAGCTTCGGACAAGGCAATTTGCTCAAAAACTCTCACAGCTGGCTGAAGGTCCCGCCCCTTGACTGCCGGCACTCACCACACCGGGATTCGTCCTCCCCGTTGGGGCAGTGGATCACTCCATCACACCACTGCGAGGGTGGCAGGCACACTCCTGAAGATCCACACTCTATTAAGGAGCTGGAGGTGACACAACGATTCTGTACTGCAGGGAGAGAGCAACACAGCCCTTAGGCTGAACATCAGCTTAGCCTCAGGTAACTACTGCCAACTCTCACTTTAATGAGCATTCCACTTGGATAGAGCAAAACATCAGAAAGAGCTCTTAAACTCAGAGATGGGAGGAGACCTAGCCTGACACAACAGATGTATTGCTCTGTCCTATACATCTCTTGTCAGATTAAGTCACTCGTGCAGCTAATTGGATTTTGTCCACCGTCTCCCCTGAATAAGCAAGCACCATTAAATTGTCTAAAAGGTGTCAGCTTTACACTGACAAAGTATAAGGCTTATAAACAGAAAAGGAGGAAGAAAGCAATTACTCCAATTACTCCTTTTGCTTTCACTGCCACCGAAAACAAGATTACATTCACCCTGTATAAATCAAAGCGAGTAAAAAAAAAACCCCTAAGAACACAGTGTCATCCTAATAGTTTTAAATGAACTTCCTTTTCCCTTCCTTTCTTTTTCTGAACAGAAAGGAGAGGCTCCTAAAATCATAGCAAATTATTTTTTTGTTTCATTTGAAAAGTGGCTTTCATTCAAATGGAAATTAAGATAGCACAAAACAAACTTCACCTAAGCCAAACAGAATTGCTCTAGTCCAGCTTCAGAGCTTAGTCACCCCGCTTGGGGATGACTTCCAAGGCGAATGTCATCATCTGTGGTACAGCTTACAGTGGTGAGACAGGCTGGGATCACACAACATTAACAACACTTTCAAAGCAAAAGCTTCACAGAAACAAGTAAATGGACGTGAATTACTTCTGCTCCAAGAGAGATCCCATTTTACCAAAACAAAACATATCGTGACTGTCTACACTCTTGCAGTTAAGGTATACAAATTTACTTCAATCTCTTTCCTTCACTTGAAATCAAGTGAAGTTCAAATTTGGAACAGAGTTCTGTTTCAGAGAGAATGCACAGCAGTGACTTCCCTAATGAAATGCACCACAGAATGTGTTGGTCACACAGAGTCACATGCCAGCTATCCCCCAGTGCAAAAACCCAGTGCAAGAGGTCAAACTACGCTTTACTAACAGCTATGGTGTTGTACAGTTGTACTGCACCAGCTTTTGCCAGATAGATCAGAGCTTTCCAGAGAAGCCACCTGAATAAGTTGCTCCAGAAGAGTGAAAAAGCTGATGGCATCACTTAACATCAAAAACTTATTTACTTAATGAAGGAAAAGGAAAGTGACAGCAGCACTGTTAATTAAAAAGAAAGAAAGGAAAGGAAAAAAAAAAAAAGACAAACAAAACTGAGCCATTAGGAAGCAGTATTAGTTCATCTCTTGGGAGACAGGTAACAAAGACTTTCCTGTCCTTAATTCAGCATAAAATGGAAGATAAGATTGTATGTTTCTAACCTTAAAAGTTTAATACATCTTTTCTTTCAGGGGAAAAAAAAAAAAAGTTCTTACCAAAATACCAGATGAAATAAGCAGTAATTGCACAACAAATTACTAGCAAAATGGATAATATAATGACTATGGTTTTCTTTACATCTGAAATGAAAGGAAGGAGAAAGAGAGAAATTAGGTTCACAAGGCAATTTCCAGCAACCAGCACTATCTATTTCCTTGACATTAAAACCAGACATTTTTTGCCATACAGGCTTTTCTCCATTCCATTACCCTTCCTCCAAATCGCCCAGGTTCCTGTCCAGTTACACCAGCATCCCAGCCAGCTATTAATTCTTCATCCACGGGAAGGTGGCTCCTTCAATGCAGGAGTTGGAAGGGAAGATCCCTTTCATTTATTACCTTATTTTGGAAGACCTTATGTCTAAAATTGGAAGAAATCCCACCAAAACTTACTTGGTGCACATGTTCTCCCAGATGAACATGCTACTGGCCCACTCGACTGATGGGTAGCAACCGTTGGATCACAGCTTGGCGCTGACGGAGCATTTGTTGAGAAGTACTTTGGGTCTGGGTTAGCATTTACTGGCTGCCTGGCAGAACAGACATTTTCTGGCTGAAAGCCATGATTTTCATAGTATGGCGGTTGACTCTAAATGATAATGTTGAGGGGAAGGAAACAGCAGAAAATTAAAAACAAGAGGCAAGACTGCAATTAGGACAAAATAAGTTTCAGATGCCATTTACATTCAGAACCCTACTAAGTAGTTCTGCCAATGCAGCAATACACCATGCATTCATACACATACTAGTGACTCCAATTTACACAGAGAAAGAGATTTACAGTACATGCCTAATACTTTGCACTTTGAAGAATAAAAGTAACAGAGAGTGAGGCTGGAAGGAGTACGAAGAGCTCAGTTTCCTGATCCAAAGTAACTCAACCTGAGAAGGATTCTTGAGCCCAGCCCTCCAGCTGGCTGCACAAACGATTGCACTGGAACATCTGACAGGGTAGAAATGTGCAGCAAGGACAGTTTTAGGCAGTACCATCATCCAAAGAAGTGCTGACAAGTAACAGCCTTTGCGTGTGCATTAGTCCAGGTCTAGGATAAATGCTTACTGCCCTGTTTTGTCCTATGACAACACCAGGTATACTTAAGCTATTTCTGAAATGCATTGGCCTAGAACAGGTTGTGGAATATTTATCCTGGAAGAGCTTTAAGAACTAGTTAGAAGCCATTCCAATCTATCCCTCCAAAATAAGCTTTAAAAGCATAAACCTCTCCCAGGATTATCTAAGCACTTGAAATGCTACTTAATTCAAGCCTCTTACACCTGGCTCACGGTGTATCTTTCCCTTTTTGCAGAAAAGAAAACACAACAAATACTCTGGATTTTAAAAGACTTGTTAAGCAGGACATCACCCAATAGGCTGTTACTTGTAAAGGAGTGAAACCTCATTTAAAAAAAAAAAAAAAAATCAGAGAGGAATATTTGGAATATTTTGTTTACTCACTACAGTAGAGGTCATCTTTCCTTTGTTAGCAGTATCGAAACAATTCAAGTGTTTGAAAGTAAAGAATGAACCTATATTAAAAAAAAAGCAAAACAGAAAACAGTCACAACCAAAAGCTTTGTCCACCTTTCTTGTTGGTCTTTCCTTTGGAAAACACCAAATCGGGGGGCGGGGAATAAAATAAGTAAGTATTTCAAGAGGGGATACAAGTTAAGGTGCAGCATGCAATCAAATCTCAATAGCCTCGCAATACAACCTCGAGGATTATACAGTGGCAACTATTCATTAACACGAGTGCCACACAACCTGAGAAGATTAAGTTAGTGCTCACCCTCATTGACAGAATGAGAGTTAAAAAATATCCTGGCAACAACCCACATGGTGTCAGTACCAAGTTCAGGTCCTCCTGCCTCTCTCAACACTTACTCATGTATCTGAGGTTTATGACACAGAAACGAGAACATGAACAAAGCATCAGGAAATACAAATTCAACTAACTCATTTGATAACGCCACAGCTAGCAGCCCCACAAGCCACATCTTTTTCAGTCTTCCGTGTTGCAAACAGTTGTGTTCTTGGTTGTGTGTTGTAGCCAACACACTAAAAACAGGGAGAGAAGCACAGCAGGGAAACAACATGCCACACCAATACAAAAGTTTTTCAAATAGAGTAAAAGAGAGGAGCTACATCCAACATTTCAAGCATATAGCAGTTTATTTTAGAGTTAAACATTAACATTAAGTAAAACCACAGATTAGCAAAGACACAAGAAACACAAAATCTTTGCTGCTGCAGTTCTAAAATAGGCAGTTATACACCTCCACAAGCAATCATTTTAATAAATAATTTAATCTGTTGATTCCTCTCATAATGTTACTTTACATGAAAACAAAGCCTAGGAAGTGCCTCAGTCATGCACTGAGAAATACCTTTCTCCAGCTTGCAGAGCAGTACCTTGCACACAGGCACACTGCCATGGCCCCTGTTAAAAGCTACAACTATAAAGAGCAGTTGCTTTAAGACACAGCATAATTCAGCCCGAAGTATAAGGTTATGTTTTAGAATCTCTACCAAGGTGTCACGTCACCCAAAACTGAAGTGCAAATGTCTTTGAAGCAGGTTTCAACAGCAGCTTGACATCTCGAGCATGCCAATACTTCGTGACAGTTTAGGAAGGCTGATTCTGGTATTTGCTTATTAGCGCTAGCAAAAATAAGTAAATAATAATGCACTGTTGAAGTCTTATTTGCATGGCAGATAGGTGAAAAACAAGTCTTACCCCTACTCACAGTAAGTCCATCAGATTGGTGACTCAGGCTTCAGGACTTCCACTTTATGTCGCATCCATTCTTGCCCAGCTCTTCACAGCAGAGTTGAGAAGTGCAGCTCTGCCCAGACTTAGAGGACAAGTAAGAAGTCACAGGAAGGTATTTTTGTTCCTTGTCCTCTGAAAAGGAGGGGGAAAAAAGGATTAGGAAATTTAGTGATACCAGACAGAAGAATACTAGGTGGTGATTCCAAGTTAAGCCAACAGGTACTTATGACCAAAGAACCATTTGAAAGGCTTTGCAGATTGGCAGATGGCAGTCTTCCTCACTCTTTTTTGGGGCAGGGAGGTTTGGTTGGGGTTTTTTGTTTTGGTTTGGGTTTGGTTTTTTGTTTGGTTTTGGGTTTTTTTTTTTAAAATCAACTGAGGAAAAAATATCTCTGTTGCTTAACTGGCTTTCAACCATCACTCCCAATTTAGTTCTTGTTAATCTATTCCCCATCCAGATTCTGATTAATAACAGTTTTCCGTTATCACACCACAAAACACAGGGAAGTCATAGGTACATACAGATTTCCATAGTATTACACATACACATTTGCCAGTGTATTAAAAACAGATTAAAGCAAAACTATTGGGTTCCCATCAGTCTGCAAACATTTAAGGCAAAAATTGATGTGTAGCATCCAATAATGATACGATCTAGTTTTCTTAAACACAAATCACTGACACACTTCAAAATATTTTACAAACACATCAAGGGTACTGCAACAACTTCACAGATAAGGAAGCTGGGTCATGGAGAAACAAACTGACCTGTCAAACACTCCCCATCCCAACAACTATAGAGCTAGAAGAGACTGGTCCGTCTTATCTCAGTCCAATACTTTGGCCTCTAACTCACCTCACACATCAGACAGATTTAAATAGATCCCACATAAAAGTATCATAAACCCACTCTGGTGCAGAAGAGTTTAGTGGGAACACACAACTATCCTTCCCTCCTACTGCCAGTCATTCCTCCTGATGTCTGCCGAGCTATCATGGCACTTTACTGGGTACATCTGAAGAAACAAACCTCAAGAGTCCTTTAAAGTGAGCTGGTGGAGTTAAAGCATGCAGAGATCCGCAGGCAAGGAAGCAGGGATGGAGCTCACCCCCGCAGCAAGCTTGAAGGTGTAAGAGTCAGGGCCCAGGGAGCCAGAGCCTTGCAGGTCAGCTTGCTAACACCTTCTAGCTTTGGAAAAAGTATACCCAAATAATTAAAGGGACCCATCACTCATATGCAGTCAAGCCCTTGAATTTCAAAAACTTCAGTTTACTCCAGTATGGATGGAGCAGAACCAGCATTTGGACTTCCAGCAACCCAGAAGGTCCAAAATCGAGTGTGCTTGTTTCATAACTCTGAAAGTAAAGAAATAACACTACTGCTTCTAATGACAGGCAATAATAAGAGTATAAAACATATAGCCGTCACTGACATAGTATACTGATGAATACAGTGAAACGTACCGCCTTGCAGCTCACAGCTATTACTTGAGATATCTTAGCTTCTTCTCACATGTGCCTTAGGAGTGTTATAATCAAAGTTCTGTCATGGGTCATTAAGATTAAAAAAATACATAATTTTTTCCAATAAAAGTTGTCAGAATGAAAAAAAAACAACAATAAAAAAATTGAAAATACTAGATTAATTCAAACCAAATGTAATCCAATAGCTTTTTTAGCTTTTCTATGGATTTCTGCAAATCAATTCTTTATATTTAAGCAAAAGGTGCAGTAGAGTTGGTCTGTACCTCATTTGGTAACATACTACTTAATTGAAAATAGCCTTCCTCCACTGTTAGTCCTTCAAAGGCTTGTCTTCCTCCCTACCACAGTGACAGCCACTCGGTCCCCCGGACAGGAAAAGCACCAAGCACAGAGTCGTGCTGCTCAGCTGTGAGTGGTCCTCACCACCACCTCCTCCTAAACCCCTCACCTTGCAACTGCTGGGCAAAGGCAAGCCTCCGCTTTTGCCTCCTAACAGCAGCATCAGGTCATGACTCCTTTATACTGCACGTATCCTTCACTAGCCAGGAGTCAACATCCCCAAAAAACAACAGAAAGAATGAAAGGCAAAGAAACCCTAAAGATTTTACCACGATTTTGTTAATGAAACCAGACTTGCTGGCTTTTACCCTAGTTCTCCATGCAAGAAATAATAATAGTATTTCCTTAGTACACACCATGTTATAGTTGTTAATTAAGAGCAGTACCATGCTTTGGAGGTGTTGAGTTCCACGAGTACTGCTAGCTATATTAGTTTCCACAAGCTTTTATATAGATATCACTATATTTTGTTTCCATGCCTAGATGCTGAAGTCTATAGGATGGAATAACTACCTTCAGATATCCTAATATAACACTGTGAATTCCACTTGGCCAATGAAGCCAGAGTTATATTGGCAACATTATACTTCCTGCATTTACATATTACTTCAATACATATTTTGTGCTATTTCCTGAAATAGAGCTGTTTGACAAGCTCTATGATAGGTATCAACAATTGAAATAACAACAAAAAACTCACAATAGTTCTTCACAGTTAGACCTAGGTAAAAGCAACCACATGCAAACAAGTAAGAAGGAAGAGGACAGAACAGTTAAAAGTCAAATGCATGAAGTTCAGCTTCTAAAAGGAGGAAGCATAAAAGCATCCAGTCTACATGAACACTGACTAACACAGTGTCACATCAACAAAATTAGCAGTTCCCTTTATTCAGATAAAGAAATAGAGCACATGGAAATAAACAAGCTGACAAAACTCATTAAGATAGTAAAGGAGTAATTCCAGTGCAAAGCTCAACCTTAAAGAAGGGCAAGCCAACAAATTATGGCTTTTGTTGATGACGTTAGAAAGGAAGTATGCTTTCATTTTTTTCATTCCCAACTGTTTTATAACCACTTAGAAGTTTTGGTAGCGTAACCTTAAATGCAATACAACCATGATACAAAGGTGGGGAGGAAAGGGAGGAGGGGCAATAAAAAAAAAAAATAAGAAGAGAGAAAACAAGCAAAGAGATGATTCCAGATTCATTTACATGATCTTTTCACACACTGGGTGATTCCTGCCTCTGCTATCTGGACAAGAGAAAAGAAACATGGTCAAGATTCCTGTTTAACAAGCAGCACTAAAAATTATCATGTCTTGCAAATGAAGTGTAGAAAGGTTAAAAAAAACCAATTATGTATGAAAAAGGAAAGGAATTAAATAAGAATTTTCATCTCATTTCATTAACAAGATTTCCTTGATACTTCTTCAGGAAGTAGTACTGAATATTTTTATTGCTATGATTAAAAAAAGTTAATGTAATTTACTCTGCAGGGTAAAACGTATGCTCTGGAAGGGGTCAAAGACAAATCAACAAGCAACTGAATGTCTCAAAGTTATCAAAATCGGGTTCTTCCAATGTCCTGGCCTTTTGGCTAACCTTCGCAATAGACGTAAGCTCTACTCGGTGTGCCTATGCAGTAACATTACACATCTTGCAGAGAACTATATGAGACTGTGTAAATATTTATATGAACTGTTGCCACAAATAGAGCCTTGGCATTTTCAGATCTCCTAAGAAATAGCTTTGAAGCTATTCTAGATTAGTTCCCAAAATATCATTAAACTGTAGAACTACTTATCAACAGGTGTCAAAAAACTGTGCCTCTTGATAAGCACTACCAGCAACTCAAAGTCTGCAACAGTATTCCCAAG